AAAAATCTTAGGTCATTTTCAAAGTTCAGACAACTAGTAAATGGAAAAGTAGATGTTTGTACCCACAAAATCTGACACCAAATATCCCAATAAAGATGATCACTGTTGTCTCTTCTTAACCACTGTGTTTTATTGCTTCCTCGGGGATCTCAAAAGTCACCTACGTACATGTGCTTAATGAATACAGAAGAGGAAATGGAAGTCCAGGAAGTTTAAGAAGCTTTTTAAAAATCATACAGTAAATACCACATCCAGTCCCAGAGCCACGTACCCTAGTGCTTTATTCAGTGTCCTTTAGAAACTTTACTCATAACAGGTACTTCATTCTAATAGAAAGCTTATTGTTCTACAATGTTCACCTCTGTCCCTTAGCGTTCCCACAAACAAAATGCTGTTCTTAGGTGTAGGTAAAAAGTGAAATCTTAAAAATAAATTTGTGTTCAATCGGAGAAACCAATAAACCTCATTAGTCAATTATTCAAGGTAAATAGTTGCATTTTCCTCAATAATGGGGTGTGTGGTTGTTTTTTCTGAATCATTTGATATTATATCATTAATCTTTTCAGTTCATTCTGCCAATATTGGTAAGTGAAAATTATTCACTACAAATGCCGAATAATTTGCATTTATCAGTACCACACAAGGTTTTCCTGCCATAAGGAGGCAAATTCGAGACAATACTGTAATTTGGATGAGAATTTGTATCCTATGCTTCCATCTAGTGGTGATTTTGCGCTATTACACGATGATGTAGACAGGTTTGCTTTAGTGTCATCCGCTGGCCTGTAAAACAGAGGAGATTCTTCAGTGTCCTCACTCCTATCAGCTGATTTTGGATGCCAGGAAGGATGTGATAAGAGAATGAAACAAGGGTCGTGGGGCGAACGATGGTCTACTGGGTATGGAGAAACGATGATCTACTGGTTGTCTGGTAATTCTGGAAATCGGAGAGAAAACAGGATTTCTGAGCGAGAGCAAGGTTTTTTGAAAGGATAGCAAATGCCCCCTACTGGCTGCTCTAGGCATGGCCAGTTATATTTCCAATGCATCAAAGCAAAACACAGTTATGCGCAATTTGATGACGGGGACAAACTCAGAGAAATGCGTTGTTAGGTGATTTCCTCATTGTGCAAACAACTGTAGAGTATACTTACACAAACCTCTATGGTCTGGCCTACTGCACACCTATGCTATAGAGTGTGGCTATAAACCTGTACAGCACGTTATTATACCAAATACTGTAGGCAATTGTAATACAATGGTACATACTTGTGTATCTAAAAATATGTAAACATAGACAAAATAGAAAAGGTTCAGTTAAAATGCAGCATAAAATATTAACTGTATCAGGCACTTACCATGAAAGGAGTTCACAGGACTGAGAGTTGTTCTGGGTGAGTGAATGTGAAAGCCCAGGGCATGAGTGTACACTACTCTCAAATGTACAGTTAGGCTACACTAAATTTATACGAAATATTTTTCTTTCTTCAATAGTAAATTAACCTTAACTTATTGAATAACCACAGTCATATATGTGGTCCATCACTCACCAAAACGTCGTTACGCAGCACATGACTATAAATAAGAAAACTAAATTATGATCACTTAACCTCTCTAGTCCTAGCTTCCTCGGCATAAAAGAGAGCAGGAGAGGCATTAAGTGTAGTCTAAATGATTTCCAAAAGTCTTTCCCTATCAAGATTCTATGACTCTACAATTTGCAACTCAAGATATTTTGCCTAGATAACATCCTGCCGACACATTGGGAAATTTCTGGAAGCCTGGAATTTGTTGTTGTTGTCAGATCCAGTCTAAATAAGACTTTAGCTTTTCTTTTGTTTTCTCTTTGTAGGCAAAACAATTGCTACATATCCCAAGATTGGCGACACAGCCATCATTTCCAAATTCTCTCTTTATGTCCCTGCCAAACAAATAAAAACTGGCCGACTGACATCATCAGAGTGGATGAAGAGTGAACAGGAGGCAATTTATGCAAGGGAGAGCTTAAACTGTTATGAAATTCTCCAGTGACCCTGTGATTCATTTTGTTTCCTGGCAGTTACTTACCACTCTCTAGTTTTGACAGATGTGCTTTTCTGCTTTTTTTTTTTTTTTTTTTTTTCCTTAAGAAGCTTACTGAGCTTGCAAAGAAAAGCTCTAAAGGAATAAGGTTAAGGAGCTAACTCAGCATCAACAGAGACAGATGCCTTCTTGTAATTGAACTAAAACCCTTGGACTTTCTATAAGCCAACTCTCTCTATTCTAAGCTATTGCCTTATTTTTATTTTTATGCAGACCATTTCCCACTTGAAATTCATCATCAAAAACAAACTTTTTATTTCTTCCTTAATGTTTATAGTGATATAGATAGTCTAGCAAAGATTATTCAATAAAGAGGTCAGACAGATTCTCATCATGATTCATCCCTGCAGTGCAGAAGGAGACACTAGGGCATCCTAACATAATTTAAGTGACAGTGAGGACGTATATGATCTGACAGATATTTCCAGAAAATACGTGCCCCAAAGAGCTCCAGTGAGTCCTGTAAAGAGAATAACTTCTACTCTAGGGCTTCATTCCTTCAGATCAAAGACCCCTTCATGAAGTCTCCTCTTAAATCTTGCTTATTCTTTATCAGCTACCAATATTTCATTGTGAACGTAAAAGTTTAGCAGTCATCAAAGGTTGTCTCAAGATGATAGGACACAGAGTTTTGCTAAGGAGAATGTGCAAAGCACTGATTTACCTGTAAATGAGAATCTCCCAAACTGGCTGTCATGGAGGAGTACTATTTTGGAAGAATGTAAGTGTCGTGGTTTGGTTTGGTTTGGTTTTGTTTTAAAATGGGATCTGAGATCAAATAAGTTTGAGAGACACAGAGTTCAGCAGAACTAAACAGGCCTTTTTTTTTTTTTTCAACTGAAGCCTTGATTGTGTTAATAGTCATTCATTATTTAAGAAATATTTACTAATACCAGCTATACTTCAAAGATAGTTATAAGTGTTTGGGAGGCCTCACGGAACAAAACAAAGATCACTTCCTTGCAGAGCTTACATTCTAGCAGGATTAGACAGATTATGAACAATAAACAAAACATAAATTATATAAGACATGCTAAACAGGATGAAAGGCAGATTGCTAATGCAGGTTGTAGGAGGAAATAAAGAATATGGCATTTTTAAAAAAGAGTGGTCAGGGTATACTTCACTCAATAGATGATATTTTCTCAGACATTTGCATTTGTTAAAGGAGTTAGCCATATAGATATCCAGATGAACAATATGTCAGGCAAGGGTGACAACCAGTCCAAAGGCCCTGGGGTAAGAGCGTGACCCCTAACAGAGTAATAAAATGTATAATGTTTCCCAAACTCATTTAGTACAGAACAGTTTCTCACAAAACATCTTCAGTGTAGCCAAGTACTTCGGGAAATGTTAGCGTAGATATTGCTTTTACTAAGTGAAGAGGGGACCAGGTAATAGAGATTGCTAGGACTAAGAGGTTGGTGCCCTGGATCTCATAAGAGCACTGAGGTGGAACATACTCAAACAAACTTTGACCACAGTGCAGTCTTCCACCAAGCAAAGTGACAAAAGCAAAAGTTTAAGATGAGCAACTTTTCTTACATTTCTTCCATTGGCTCTTCAAAGAAGGCTTACTGGCTCAAAAATACCAAAGAAAATGCTTCAACGTTTCTAAACATTACAGAAATTAAAATTACAATACCCATTGAATTAGGCAACATTTAAAAGTCTGATAATACCAATGTTAAAAAATATTTTAAGAAATAAGATCTCTCATTCACTGCTAGTGGAGAAGTAAATTGCTACAAGCACATTGATGAGCAATATGATTGTGCCCAGTAAATTTGAAGGTGTGAAAATTATTCAGCTTAGCCATTTTACTTCTAGGTATTTACCTAAAGAAACACTTACACGTGTGTACAAGAAAATATTTATAGAAATTTATTGCAGGATTGTTTGTAATAGAAACATAAGAAACAATGCCCATCAACAAAAATACGAATAAATGCAATGTTATGTATCCATACTGAAATACCATATAGCAGTTAAAATGAATTGACTAGAGGCACATTTATCAACATAATAAATCCCTAAGCATAATGTTGAAAGAAAAAGTAGCTTTTAGTAGTAAAAGTAGAATATGACACCATTTACATAAAGTTTTAAAACATGCAAAAATGTATACATTATTTATAGATACATATATATACAGTAATAGTATAATTGCATATAATTATAAACACTAAATCCAGCCTAAGAAGAGAAGCAAGGATTTATTACATCATTCTGTATATTTGTAATATTTTATATTAAAAATATATTTTAAAGAGGAAAGATATGCTCAAGAAATATAGGAGAAGGTTTTAATGCATGGACTAAAAGAAGACATAACCCAAACCAAAAGAAATAAATATGATTAAGCAGTTACACAGAATACAAAGTATCAAGGACACAGATCGATTTGAGGAAATTTAATAATTTCTCTCACAACACTATATTTCTGGGAAGAAAATGGCTTTCTTTCTAAGTCCTAGTAAAAAGGGCAGCTGTTGCTGCGTTGCTCACCTTGTGGTATTCCAGTTGAAGAAGATTAATTTCAACGACATGACCATTCATTGGTACTTCGCATATGTGAAGTAGAAATATTTTCCTAAATATTTTCTCTAAGTATGCAAAGCACCTTTAGGAGAGTATGTGGCTGTAATTTAACGGTGACAGTGTGTGCTTTGCACACTGACCAGGATTAAGTTCATTTTTATTAACTGGGTTGCTTGCTATTAAATAAACCTTAACTTAAACCACTTTTGTTATCAATGAATAAACCGTCATCTTAAAATACGATTATTTATCTTTAAAAAGATAATTATATTTTGTGTTTGTGCTGAGGCAGTCTGTATGCATTTGGTGAGGAAAAGATTCCTTTCTGGATTAAAAGGAACCATAGGATAATGGAAAAGGTCTTCAAATGTGTAATTAAGATTAAATTAATCATCTTTTTTTTCTCAATAAGCATATTATTTTGCTGAGTCACTAAGTATATTTCAATGATATTGCATTGGAGTAAGAGGATTAATGCTTAACCTCACTTCTTTGTTTGCCGAGGACTGCAGCTGAGGGTTTATTGAGTATGGATTGAGCATCACACTAAAAACCTTCCCTGGAACAGGGGACCAAAGGATGTAAACTGAACATTTTTAAAATCTGCTTTGTTTTCCTCATATTGCTGAAGATTCAGATAGATATCTGCCTGTAAGTGATGTGAATCAATTTAATCTACTGAAACAAAGTACAGCATTGAAGACAATGTCGTTTTTCGCCCCCTAATACATTTTCCCTGGCGTGCTGTTTATTTTTTTTTAAGACACGTGAAGAAGAAATCGTGATCACAGTATTGGCTGTATCCACCTGCATCCTTTTTGTCTTTTTTTGGAAGAGATGATCCTGGCTTTCCAGTTGGTCTCCTTCACCTACATCTGGATCACATTGATACCAAATGTTTGTGCTGCTTCTCACATCAGGATGACACACCAGCGGTGCTCCTCTTCAATGAAACAAATCTGGTAAGATGCTCATAGTGCAGTCCATGGAGTTACTGCCCACTTTCTCTCACCAGTTGCCTCAGACCGACAGGAAACCTAGAAACATATCTTTAATGGTAGCACATCTTTGTAACCATGTCTGTCTCTGGAGATAGCATTCATGCATCATCATCAGTCACCTCTGTTTGACATCTGAAAGAGCAAGATCTTGGAATTTGCTGACATTTGTAAATTTATTTATGCTTATTTACGGAGAAAATGGTTAAAGGGTTCATATAAGGATCCTCTTTCAGGGAATGTATTTCCTCAATTAGTAATACATTTATTACTGATACATTAAATACTTGTTTAATGTTTCCTCAAATGTATTTTGAGTAGAAATTAGTCTAAGCACCAACTTCATTTAATGTCAAGTATTTGTAGGGTATATAGTTTCATGGATTGATGAAATAGTATCAAAAGGCATTAAAGCCATTTATCTTTCAACAATAATTTTCATACGTTTGACAAATCCTGAATATCAACACACGATCACTATTATCTTCCCATCAATAATCAGGAGCGTGTTTGGATGTGCTAGTAAGGGAGATAGCTATCTGTGAGAGTGACCTGTTTGTACACCAACTTGCCTAGGGCTTTATAAGTTTTAGTAGTAAAAATGCCAGGAATCCCTTCAGCCCCAGGCATACTGCAATGATTTGTCCCCCTACTACCCATATACCTTTAATAATCAAATAACGTCTTTGAGAAAGTCTTCCCTTTTCACCAAGCACCGTATTTCCAAAAAGACCCAACAGGAGAAATTGCGGAATGAAGATAAGAGTATCATCTGGTCAATCCTGGCAGCCAATGGGGTGACAGATGTTTAAGTTAGATTGTCCTCACATCCTGAATATGTATTATGCACTCACTGTAAGATCAGGAAAGAGAACATAAAATTTTAATAAATATCTTCTGAAGTCTCAGGTTTAATGACCAAAACCAAAAGAGGTGTGTTGCTTGATTACTGATTCCTGCTCTGCAATTAAAAATCAGGGACTACCTCTCACACTTTCCTTCCATGCTTCTGCTCCCAGACCCAGACCTGAGATGATACGAAGTCTTGTTCCATTTAACCACTTTCCCAGTCTTCTTCATAGCAGTTAGCTAAGGAAATATTTGGGAAATGTAAGAGTATACCACCAGACTCTTATTTTTTTTTCAGGTAGCTTATTACATTTTATAGTATGTTTTATCTAATTTTAAAAATTAATGGACTTAAATGCTTAAAATATTATCTCTCATCCAAAGAGTAGACTTGTACAGTCTGGTGGATGTTTAGATGAGGAGGAGAGATGATTATAGTAGCTAATTCATCACACCAGCCCACTATCAGTGGCAGAGTTGCTACAGAAAAAAATCTACCATGTGTATTTTTTAGGTGACATTTAAAGAACAAGGGAGGAACATTGGTTCTTTGTGGTGAGGTAGAAATTTTTCTGATGTTAAATGCCTCATTTTTAGATCCTACGTAAAGGAAAAGAAGAATTTTAGAGCCTACGCAAAAGCAGACTTCCCACATAGGAAACGCCAGGATTTCGGCCATGTGGGGCCAATCATATTTGTTGTCACTTCTCTATATCCTAAATGAAGTGCTCCTTTGAGTCACAAGCCAGAATGGGATTCATTAAAATTTATGTCTGCTTCTTTTGTTCTTCAAAGAAAAACCCTCTAGGGCACTGGGGATTGCATAAACCATCACCTGGTCCAGAAGTAGCCACTTAGAATGAAACCCAGGCATTTCCCCTGAGTGAGCAGGGTAATACAGCCAGCCAATTTGTGAGCTGTCACTCAAGCACTCTGTCATGCAGATTTTAGGGCATTAGACCAAAATACAGTAATTACTGTATACAGTCATTTTTCAGAATAAGGGGCCAGGAGTCTTCCTACCTTAGTGAATAGATACTGTGAGGTTCTTTGCCCAACATCCAACCTGATTATCAGCCAATAATTAAGTAATGAATGAATTAATTAATAATCCACTCTTCTATAATGCAAGAGAACTAGTAGAGTGAACATGAAAGGAAGACATGATCTTTGAAAATTATAAGGGGGATTTATATATGCATTGTTTGGGGCCAGTTTTTATGCAACAAGGCTCTTAAATGTTTTGTTTTTAGTTGTTTTCATTCAGAGTATAACCTTAATTTTTAATCCAGAGATTCCCTTCTTTCGAAATCTAAAGACTTTAAAAAGTATTTATTCAAAGATACCTTTTGTTTCCTAAAACCAAAGTAGGGAGAGGTGTGAATAAAGTAAGTTTGGCAGGTGGAAAATGTTCCCCTTTTACCTAGAGAAGAAATTTTGCTCCTGGATAATGCAAAGAAGATTAAGCAAATAGACTCATTGAATATTTATTCATTCTTTCAACAATTATATTGAGTGACATTTACGTGTGAGTGCTGGGTTGGGGGCTAAAAATACTATGAGAGCAACGTATTGACTCTGGCCTTGAAAATAATCAGCAGAGTGCTGGAGTCTGCTCAAACTGGCTTGCAACAGCCAATCGTTTTCAGGAAATTTATCAGCTGGCTGTTAAAAGCACACATTATTTAAAATTAAATTATATAAGCCTGCAATTAAATTAAATAATTTCTAAGATAAAGGTAGCAAATACTTAAAACTCACCACTTCCTAATGATTTCTCCACATTTTATTATCATCTGTTGCTCTTGAAGTTATTTTATTTAGGTCTATTGTAACTATGGTAGAAATACAACAATATACCATACTGTACCATTTATCCTATCCTGTCCTATCCTCTTCTCTCCTCTCCTCTCCTCTCCTCTCCTCTCCTCTCCTATGTGCTAGGCACATCTCTGCCATGCATGTTGTTGGTAGCCTAAAATCAGCCATGGTGGAAATATTTACACCATGGAAATAAAACACTATAAACTGGGGCTTTTTTTCCTAAAGAGTCACTTGTTAAACATTACCCTGAACCTAATGTAAAAGCCAGTAGATTCTCAAGCATGGCAAATCCAATGCTACCACAAGCTAGACAGAAGACAGTGGCAGAGACTGCAACTACAAGGTATATGCTCCTCTGAGGGAAAATGGCTGGTCAGGTTCAGCCTTCTCTTGTTTTTGTTTGTTTTTTAATTTTTAACTTTTTTTTTTTTTTCCTGAAACAAGGTCTTGTTCTGTTGCCCTGGCTGGCGTGCAGTGGTGCAATCATAGTTCACTATAACCTCAAACACCTGTGCTCAAGTGGTCCTCCCACCTCAACCTCCCAAGTAGCTGGGACAACAGGCGTGTGCCACTACACCTGGCTAATGGTTTTTTTTTGTTTGTTTTTTTGTTTGTTTGTTTGTTTGTTTTTGGTAGAGATTGGGTCTCTCTATTTGCCCAGGCTGGACTCAAACTCCTGGCCTCAAATGATCCTCAAGCTTTGGCCTCCAAAAGTTCTGGGATTATAGGCATGAGCCACCGTGCCCACAGCCTTCTCTTGTTATAACTTGAGCCTTATGTGGCCAGATTTTCTGATTTTTTTCAAAAGAAGCAAGAAATCCAGGCTTTTCTCTGAATTTTTCCAAGTTAATATACCATGTGGACTGTTTTTAAAAAATGTCTGCAGACTAGCTGCTAATCTAGTCTAATTTCCTCATTTCACAGATGAGGCAACTGAGGCCTCCTCACTGAGCTTTTGGTCTGACAGAGGTCCAAGTGAGATGTGGGAACTGTAGTGTTTCAAGTGAAGCATTCTCTCTCGCTGGCTTTTCCACAGAAATGTTCATCTGCCTAGATTTTTTCTTTTAGAAGAGACAGGCTATTGATAAAGTCAGGTATGTATTTCCAGAGTTCAGAAGTTAGGAGTTCAATCAAAGCCTTAAGATTCACTACATCTTATGTACCACATTTTCTCTAAGACATTTCAAAAACATCCAGGGTCTGGAAATAAACATTGGATCAAGAATTATAAAGGTTTTCTTCATGATGAAAAATTGGACCAACTGATTTTCCCACTACTTTACCTTATTCCTTGAATTTGCATCCATGTATGTAGCCTAATAGAACATTGTTGGTTCATTTTGTATTTTTCTAAAGAAAAACAAAAAGCCTACAAAAGGTTTTTAAAATGTTGCTTACATTATTTGGAACAGTTAACTGAGCTTCAGTGTGCACTGGTTCACAATAAAGCTTGACTCAGAAAAACATCCATGTTATCAAGAGGCCATGCTTCTAGAACTACAAGAAGAATGGAATGATAAGGTGGAGAGCTTTGACCAGATTCTTATTTGGAAAGGATTCTAAATGGCAAGTCCAATTTGGTCTAGATAATTTATGATACAAATAACAATAACAATAATGGATTTTTATGTGGAAAAAAATACCTAGAACCTCAAGGCTTTTGTTTTTCCAAGTTCACGTCTAATCGTTATTCATGAAACTACATGATATTTTCATGTTTAAAATCATAGCATAGAAACCGTTTTGTATTTTCTTCACTTAAGCATTTCTCACATTGCTTCACAGACACCATAATGCTATTTTTAATCACTCCATATTATTAATTTGAATTAAAGGACAAGAATTATCTCCTTTGTTTCTGAACATTCATTTTCAAGTTTCCACTAAGATAAGTAACAGCAATAAATGTTTTCACACATGTCATTTTTTCCTTTACCAAGAAAATTATGATTTTTCTGGAATTGAATAATTGAGTAACGCACATGAAATATCTTTATAGTTCTTGAGATGAATTTCTAGAGGAGTTTACCAATATGTATACTCCCACCTGCAAAATAGAAATATTTGCATTTCATCATATCCTTTTTTTTTTTTCCCAAGACAGAGTCTCACTCTTTCGCCCAGGCTGAAGCTGGAATGCAGTGGCACAATCTTGGCTCACTGCAACCTCTGCCTCCCAGGTTCAAGTGATTCTCCTGCCTCAGCCTCCTGAGTAGTTGAAATTACAGGCTCCCGCCACCACGCCTGGCTAATTTTTATATTTTTAGTAGAAATGGGGTTTTGCCATGTTG